ATATTTGGGAACGAGAAAGTATTTTATTCGTCTATATTGTTTTAAAAAAGCTCCCGATAAGACTCGATTGGCCACCACCGGCTTCCAGACAACTCATAAATTATACAAAAATGATAAACAAGAGAGGAATTTATGAGTGTGTAGCGTGGTGTCGAGTCCCAATCGATTATGAACACCGCTACCAAGAAACACGTGCCAAATGACTCCATAAAATCCCCCGGAAGCCAAATATCAGAAGGCAGTTAATGGACCAAGTCGAGATATATTTGTCGGCGATCTCGTGGTATCAAAAAGATACCGAAATCGTGCCAGGATACAAGCTTGGATACAGAACGCAACCGAATTTCCGCGAAGTCACAATCAAAGTGTGTGTGAATAATGGATGTTTTTAGCACAGTTAAACAAAAGCACATTAAAACAGTCACTGGTACAGTTGGTTATAATAATAATTGTTTTTATTAAACCAGTCGTGTTCTCGTGATAAATGTGAGTCACTATAAGTGTTTAAAGGAGTGGTATATTTGAGCATCGACAGTGATGGCAAAACGTGGGTCTTCTGGGCTAGTTAACGAAACAAGCATGAAATTTTTAAGAGTTCACATCACATACCTATGCATTCTTTTTCTTTATGTATAAATTTGGATATTAAGCATTTATTTGCTATTCTTTTCAGTCATACTGTGTTCTTTTTCACGGGTGAAATTATTCACCAGTGTGCATCACACTTTTTCAGGTTCATTTACGCTCGTCATTATGTATGTATATACATGTCATGGCTATGGTTTATTGGCTTGTAGATTGCTAACACAGGTGATCCATGTCGAATGATTGGGGTCTGCTAGAGTTAGACGGGAAGGGTGAGACAAACATCCAACTTCGAAGTCACATCTTTGAAGTGAGCACCTAGCGTGGTTTACCCCTTGGTTGTTAAAACGTACTACTACCTCTTTGAAGACCGTATAACACACATAACGTTATTAGAAAAATATACTGCATTAGAAACAAGTTAAATTTTGACCACCACCACATGATTTACGATCAACTGATGCTTCTTGGTTGTCATTATCATTGATAAAGACCAATGACTTATTCGATATTCAGTGACCCAATTGCCGGATGATTCGGCTAGGGCTCAGTGACACTTCGCTGGCTTACAGGCTATATAATCAGAATCACACAGTTCATTGAACAAATAACCAAGTTACAAATTTTAATACTATTGAGACTATATTCGTGAGTTTATCATTTCGGTCTGTCTGGCGATATATTCGCAGTTTGGATAGTGTTCATTCCAGACTGGTTTCAGACAAGGTTGGAAACATTTGCTGTGTATAATTCTTACGGATATTGACTGGGTTGTGAAAAATCGATATCTCTAGAGAAACTCAGAGTATAATGGACATCTTGAATGAAGATAAACGATTTGGACTTTGTGCTAGTTACTCTAGCCCATACACACCAACAAATCTAGGCAAAGACAGTCAGTATGCAACAGCCTCTGTAGCAGTAAGATTTAAAATGCACAAGGGAAAAATCAAGATTCTCAAATACAGCACGGAGAACACTAAACCGATCACACTTGATGGCGAAACTTTGTAAGATATGGAATCCTGCACGCCCCTGGGAAGCATCATCGATGAACAAGGAAGACGCAACGTAGATGTAAAGGCGATGACTGGCAAAAGAAGGACAGTATTCCTAGAGTTAAAGAACATATGGAACTCAAAACAGCTATAAACCAATATCAAAGGGAAAATCCTCAATACGAACCTCAAGGCGGTCACTTACGATGTACAGAGCTGACACTTGGAGAACTACCGCGACCATCATCAGAAAGGCATAAGTATTTATAAACAGTTGTCTACATATGACACTCAGTTTCCGTCGATCAGATGCTTTCAGCAATATCCTACTGTGAGAGAGCAAACAATCTGAATAAGAATTTAGAAAAAGACATTGGAAGTGGATAGGACACACATTGAAGATATCATCAAACTGCATCACGAGGTAAGTGCTAACTTGGAATCCTGGAGGAAAGCAAAAAAACAGATGGCCAAAGTTCACAATGCATTGGGAATCGGAACCCGACATCAAAGGGCTGAACAACAATCGGAAGGCACTGCTCACAACAGAGCTGAATGGAGAGTGCTGGTGAGTGGCCTATGCTCCTCCACGAGTGGTAACAAATGTAAATGAATAAGTAAGTACATATTTCTACAAATAGTAAAAGTAAAAGGCTAAGATGCTCAAAGTCAGGTTAATTTCTTCAAATCCCTTGAAAAAGCTTTCAGATTCTGTGAAAAGCGTGAAGTCACTTTGTTTAGTCAGAACGTATTTGTTGCTTTCCAGGAATTTCTAGGAAAACGACGGGTTATGTATCAAACTATAATAATATAACTATTCTGTTACAAAACTTTGTGTGACCCCAGAAACTTCCAATATCCCTGGGTTTCTCTCAGGTACTACCGTTTTCTGTGTACAGACCAACCGTGGAGTTAAAGCTCCACACCTTACTCCTAACCCTACCTCTACCATTCAGTGCTCTAACGTAGAAAGCTTACAGGGGAACTAGAGAGAATTTATATGGTTATTATTAAGTGCATAATTACCATAGAGTTCACTTGAAACAGAATAAATGCCAATAGGTTTTTTACAAATAATGTACAAAAAGACAAACTAATTCGGTATCAACAGCAGAAACGTGTAATGAAATAACGATCTTCTAAAGAGTGTAAATGAAATCGTTCTCTAGAGCATAAAACAAGGCTTCAACAGTTTTACTCAAAACACAATGTAAAATGTATCCACAGGTTCATCGTCTTTGATTCATCAAAGCTTTGAAGGTAGTAGCATCTAATCTGTTCTAAATATTCTCTTGAAATTTCATAAAGTAATTGAGTAAGTCTGAACGTGATAAGTATTTTTATGATGAATATCTTATGTTAATTACTATGTTTTTTACCTGCATATGTCTTCTGTTACACACTTGATCTGTTTATTTTAACGAATGACACGTGTGCGATCGATCATAGTACAAAAATGTGTTAGAATAATGCATTATAATATATTATTTACTATAGGGTATGAAGTTGTTAAGATCAATACGATAAATCAGTCAGATGAATTTCTATGGAGATATGATTAAGGGATTTCATTCATTAGGCAAAAACTTTGTAGCCCTATCTATTTTAGATAGTAATGTGTAATCTCTGGTCGAGATCAACTGAGTGAATATTGAATATCAGAGAACTAACGTGAACATAACTAATGATCTTCACCAAACATTTCTTTCTTTTCCTAATGTATACTGATTTCTTCCTTACATAATGCGTAGCTATGACACAAATTCCCCTCCGGATATGGTCATTTATGATAAGCTGTAACTATAATGCCATAAATGTTTGTTGAAAATAAATAGTTATTGGAACACTGCATTAAAGATACATAAATTGTTAAATTAATTATTTCACTATCAACTTTAAATCTTCTGTTCACTTTCTTTTATCAACTTGACATAATTTCATTCCTTCTACAGGTTTTTCCAAAGAGCATCAACTGTGTTGATCTATTTGTATAAATCTTAATCACATCTTTTTTCTAAGACATTAAAATGTCTGCATGTTAACAATTCCAGTTTTAACTGAGTGAATATCATATATAAGACCACTTATTTACAATGTAAGTGAAGTTTGTCCAATAGTCAAACTTATCGTCTGTTAATCACAAATAGGATCCAATCGACGTCACATTAATGAGGCTTCTATTCAGGCTGTTTTCAGCTTTTTGGCTTATTAATTTCATCGGAAGATCAAAATTAGCTGCGTCAGTATCTAGAGAAAATAAATTAGTCAACTGTTTATCGGAACTATGAGATATATCCGTGGAATACGTTTAAAAGAATCTTATGAAATTTTTCTTCTCACTGGATCTAAATTAATGACAAGAACTAACTGCTTTACAGTAAATTATGTTATCAACACTTTCAAATAGTAGTAGTGTAAGTAGTAGCAGGACTACTCCTAATAGAAAAGATCATGCGTAATTGATATGATTCAAGAAGACATATATTATTAAATAGGAAACACTTTAAGATGATTAAGAAACGCAGGAACTAAGGGATAACAGAGAATGAATCTACACCATTGTGTACGATTTTGAGCCAAGACACCCAATGTCCCCAACCATTGGTATAATAATCACGCGAACTTGACATAAAGTGCACCTACTTACACAGCTCAGTCCAAAAATAACTTCGCTCAAAATACACTTATACCAAGAGAGACTGATCTATCGCAGTTTTGACGACCAACAACTGGGAATCACAAACATTTATTAACAATGAATTACTTACACCTGTTACTCCCCGTGAAGGAATAGGCAGCCGACTATGAATCTTCAACCTGCTTTGTTCTGGGCTCTTCTTTCCAACCGCTGAGAAGTCCTATTTATTCTTTTGATGCCTGAATATTTCCGTTGCTAAGAAAGCTAATAATATCTGCTGTTAATAAATTTATGGTACTATTATTATTGCATTTACAACCGATTTACTGTCTGAATATTACGCTAAGAATATCAACTGAAATATTCAATTCGCACACTCATCAATTGTTGTCAGTACGAATAACAGCAGTCATCAAGCTTGATCAACAACCGATAAAGTTTTTAGACCCCAGTGTTATGCAATTAATTGCCCTAAAACTAATTAACCCGATGTACGGGATGGTTGAAAAGAGTTTGAACTAGAAGACAATCACATTTTCCAAGAGATTTCATTCCCATCTCACTAAACATATTGCTTCAGTAAGCCGAATTTTGTAGGTAAACAAATTACCAAAGCAATCATATCATACATTAATGCAAAAACCACTGTTTGTTTAACATCACATTGATTATTCCTTATCAAATGTTTAACCATACACTCAATCAGTTAGATAGTCATTATGTCTTTTGAAATTTATTCGATTAGGGTTTCGATATTGGCTCCGTGAATATAATTGTCACTCTAATCATTTTAGTAGATTCTATCAAATTAACAATGCTGATCTTAATTATTTAAATAATGAAGCACTCCCTGTCAAATCATAATGACTCAGTGCAAGTAAACGAAAGTGAATACACGAAAACAATGTGAGTGAGGTATCTAACAGTAACCCTTTACATAAAACAAGTTTAAACATGAGATGTATATAGTAAACATTTATTGGGTGTAATTTGACATTGATCAGAAGAGTTTATAAATAAAAATACTTATATCAGTAATAATAATAATAATAATAATAATAATAATAATAATAACCATTTAGTGAATAAACAAATAAATAAATAATGTCATAGATATACAAATTGAAAGAGATTAAAAAACCGTAATCATAGTTAATCCGAGTGTGAATAAATTAACTCATAAAGATCGATATCATCAAACTGATAGAAGTTCTCAATAGTGAACAATAGATTGTTTTTCTTTTCAAAAGAAAAGGGAATCCATTGAGCAAAGGAATAAATCAAACAAGAAAAAAAACCGAGAGGAATAGTAAAGTTTGTTTCTAATAAGAAAAAAACATGCAATAATCGACTGTAGATAAACAGAAATAAATTCGACAATCTGTGTATTACGAAAGAATAATAACATATCACCGATTTTTGTATGAATTATTGCACAACCAAAGAAAATTAGCACAACCATATGTGGAATATATAAATAAAGCTTGGAATGATTTAAATATGTGTATGGATAAATACATAGATAAGTAATTGGATACAACAAGTGTATTCATATTCTCCATCTACTTCTTTATTCAAATATTTTTTTATCAGATTCAAATGTAAATAAAAAGTGAATGGACTATTGTGCTTTAAAGTTACTATTTCCTATATATATATGAGAAGAATTTCGTCACAACCAAGAACAGTATAAATGCATAAAAATGAAAATATTTTAAGATTTCTTCGTGTCCCATACTTTGTGAAAACTCTCCATAAATGAATCATAAATCATGAAGCTGATACAAACATCTAAACAGACGCGACCTAGTCTAGGTACAGTACCTTTATAGAAACTGTAAACAGAAAAAAATATATAAGTATGCAATAAGAAAATGTATATTAAAATAGAATACAAAGAAACAAACTAAAATTTAGGAAATACTTGTCGTTCACTTCAAAAGTTTATCAAACATGCATGAAAATAACAAAATTATTACAATTAATTCATATGTTAATGGTAAATAATGAGTTGGAACCGGTTAGGTACATGTTCCCATGAGGACATACTCGTTTTAATACCATGATTATAATTAATGTTACAGAGGGTTTTTCTCGTTATAATACATACATATAAAGTAGAAGGACAATATGCACAGGTCTATTCAAATATTCTTTGAGATATCTGGAATTTTAAACATTCACACTGAAATCCTCTTATCTTAAGTTACACAAATGTTAGTCAATGTTTAAACGAATAGTTTGACAGAAATTGAGCACCGGGTACATGGAAAACAGCATTTGCGCAAAATTAAATTTGAAATAATTTCAATGATCGCAATGTAAATGATTCCAACGTTTCATTCAGAAATCTTGTCTGAACGTCTTCAGTGTAACAGTTAAAATCAAAATTTTGAAAGAATATTTAACGCTTAAATATAGAATCAAATCTACACTAATTGCTTATCCAGTCATATTTAGAAACTGGCTTTAGTGATTACGATAAACTAAGTATTTTGAAGCGAAAAAAATACTTCAGAAAGGGTTTGACACGAACAAAGAAAGATTGACAGCAGAAGCACTGTATAATCAGAATATCTTGAACAGGAGAGATGGTATCCAAGTAGTCCCACCGTTGACAAATTATCATTCAGAAGTAACTGAACGTTATCTATATCCACCCTATTTATGTCACATCCAGCAATGTTCCGACCAAAATTAATTTGGATATTTGAAAATCACACTTATGTATTTGATGATATTAAATATACTTTTGTTATATCCCAATGGGTTTAAAAATTGTATTTCTGATATTTCGTGACTTAATGTAAGTCACTTCATTAGAGCAAATAAATAGCTGAATTCGGTTATTTGTTTGCACTGAAGAAATGGCCTACACATTAAGTCACTAAACACTAGAGATACAATTTGTCTACCCATTGGGATATAACAAAGATATATTTATCCTAGTATGGGACTCCTCAGCAGTGCGCATCCACGACCCCGCACCACCCGGGGCTGGAACCCAGGACCTACTGGCTTCGCGCGCGAGCACTTAACCATTAGACCACTGAGCCGGCATCCAGCGGTGTTAATGTCTAACTTCAACCAATCCACGAAGTTGCGCTACCGTACACCATTGTCCTCAGTGAGTTACTATCTCACAACAGACCTGGTTGAACTTCACTGGTAACGACTTCTCACTAGAACTCCAGAAGTGTCTCCTGAAGTCAGTCACTAGTGAGCAGGTGAGTCCCATACTAGGACGAAACGGCCGTCCAGTGCTTCCAGGTTTTCAATGGTGGTCTAGCTTCAACTGACTCATGATTTCAATCTGTGAAATTTCTAAAATCTCCACAAAACCCATTCTGATAAAGATATATTTATTATGAACTTTTTACCCAATGCTCAATTTATTTGTAATTATCAAGTCTGACCTTGGCATTTTGCATACACATCGAAGTATTGGAAACATTTTCAACATGCACTTTTATCATTACATTTAATAAACAAATGATTAGAATCAGTTCACCGGATATTAACTATTATTAGGCCAAAGTTACACAAACATTTATTTTCACATTGTGAACTTTTCACATGATTTAAATCTCACTGACTCATGCTGCCTTATTTACTAATGTTGACCTGTGAATATGATTAAGTAAGCAATTAGTGTGGATTTGATTCTATATTTAAGCGTTAAATATTCTTTCATAATTTTGATTTTGACTGTTACACTGAAGAAGTTCAGACAAGATTTCCGGACGAAATGTTAGAATCACTATTTCAAATTTAATTTTACATAAATTTTGTTATATCCGAGCGAAGATCAAGTCACAAGTAACTTCCGAGACATATCAACTGCCTATATTATCTGTACATTCTTATGGTATAATTATTCAATAATTAGATTATGTATATTTATATTCCTCTTATTATAAGCTTCATTTTGACCTATAATTTATTATTGTACGATTTATTGTTCTTAAGCTATGTTCAGTTTATTGACAAATGTTATTTCCTATTTTATGGTGCGTTGCGGTCTGTTTGGTTGATATATAAACCCAATATGTCTGAAATAAATGATCCGATTCGATTCACATATTGGAAGCTAGTACTGTTGTTCTGGACTCAAGTGTACAGACTAGGCGGACATAGGACCAGTAAGGACACTAGGCTGCTCATACCGGTCGAACGTCATTGGTTTGGCACAGTGAGAAGATTGTATGTCGTATTTTGATTGGTGGATAGATCAGATGATAAAAAGCCGGACACAACTCGTTTAATTATTCCTGATCATTATTTAGCCACTTTTAATACAGATTTTTCAGGAATTTTAAAATTAAACTAATAAATTTCAAGATTATTATTGTTTCAATGGATGAAATCCAAAAGACAGGCTTTAAATAGACTTTATAAATAACATGAGGATTGTATCTTAAGAAGAAATTCGATAGAATTTGTTATAAGGTCTTTCTTTGTAATAGACGTTTTGGCAAGTAGTATCCTTTGAAATATAAACAGGATTTTCATTAGTGATGAGTCGATCACATTATCATGTCTTCAGAAATACATTATATGCTCAAAATCATACTAGTTCAATATTTCCAAGTCATGATTCTTGATGTTCATTAACACTGGTTAGAGATTGTTATGTCAGGAAAAAACAGATTACTTAAGTTATATTGGGTTTCATATACTAAGGCCGTAAGTTGAGAAGCGGATGTGTGACCTCTTTATCTCTCTAGTTAGTTTATCGACCCACAATGCCAGTAGGACCAGTGACCTGACACCTATTGTCCAATCACAAGACAAAGATCAAAAGGAGATCAATTATCTATTGTACTTTATTTCAATCATGATACAAAACATACATTAATATAACTGAAATGTTTGGCCACATGGTAACGTGACTAAGGAATTACAGTGTGCACGTAACTTATTCCGAGGTGATGCAAAACCAGAGTAAAACAGGTATAATTGATCAAAATGGTAGATGAAAGTAGTTAATAGAAAATCCTGAGCCCAGGTTTCGTGTTATTTGACATTATAGTTACACCTTGCTGACGACTGCCAAATAACACGAAGCCTAGGTTCAGGGTTTCCTATAGACTACCTTCAGTCACCATTTTACATTTCAACACAGTGCACGCGATATCGGTTCAATTAGGCTAACACCCATATTTTAATATGATCGATAGCATTCGATCAGCACGAACAAGGACTTGATATGCATGACATTGGTCACTACTCAGTGATTCATCAACTGTAAATAATTAATGGTAAATTTGGAACGATAGGACTATAGCAATTCTCCTACAATCGATTTCGATTATGATTAAATTTTGTTCAGCCCTTTTATCAACTTGCTTAACAGACAATGGTATTCGAACAGTTATAATTAGTAATTTTCTTTGTACTATTATGATCACTTACGCCTGTTTTCCGTCATAAAGGAGTATAGGTCGCTCACCAGCAGGATTCAACATCTTCCAGAGTTTCGCCATCAAGTGTGTATGTTAAGGCATACTGATGCAGAGGCTGCTGTTACACTAGTTGTCTCCACCTGAATTTGTTGGTGTGTATGGAATAGGAGGGTTAAATCATCTGCGAAGTCTAAATCTTTTAACTGAATTCGAGCTGTCTATTGTATTCCATGCTTTCCCTCGTATATCGGCTGTTGTTAGTTGTTGTCTTCTTGTTCTTCCTTTCTTGAATCTTGCTCAGGGTTTCGATAGAGATCCATTCTTTATGATGATGTTTCTTGCGGTCAAGCACCTCCTGACACTTTGACCTTAGTGATTCTTTGATCCCCTTCCAGTTGTCTTCCATGGCTATTTCTTAATCTTTCAGTAGATCCAGTAAGGCTGGAATCTGTTGTTGAGAGTTATCTTGAATTCAATGAGTTTGTCAGTATTTCAAAGGGAGGCTCCTTTAAACATTCGTAATTCTGTTTCTCGAATTGTCCAGTGCTTCTATAGCTTCAGTTTTTATCTTGGCCCCAGTCAGATGCTGATCTGAACCTATGTCTTCCTCTCTTGGTTCTAATGTCTTCCAATGACCTGAATCTATTACTGGTGCAAGTATGATCTATCTGGTTCTCCGTGGTGTCGTCCGGTGAGACACATGCAGCTTAGTGTATGTGTTTGTGTGGGAATATTAAGTCGCCTATAACCAATTAGTTGAATGCACACAGATTTGCAAATCTGTCACCAATTTCATATCTTTCTCCCAGTCAGTTCATGCCGTCCCACGATATCTTCATAACCGTTGTCCATTCCGATTTTGGCGTTTAGATCTCCCATCAGAATTGCCAGGTCCCTTGTTAGGGACTTCGCTATGTTCGATTGCAGGCTTTTGTAGAACTGATCTTTATCGTCGTCGTTGCTATCATTGGTGGGTACATAACATCGGATAACATTCATTGTGATTCCCTCCTTCTTTGTTTTGAAGGATGTTTTAGTGATCCTGGATCTATGAGGTTCCCATCATACATGCACGTTTGGATAGTATAAGAGCAACTCTCTGAGTTTGAAGAACATTATCCACTTCGTGAACGGAGTACAGCAGAATTTATCCTGTACTTAACCTTTGCTGTCCAATGGGTTTTGCTGATTCTTAGCACCGCGAAGTTGTACCCCGTCATTTCTATTGCTATTTGACTTGTCCTCCCGGTCTCTCACACTGTCAGGACATTCCAAGTACCAATAAAAATTGTTGCTCTAGTTGCTAGAACAGGAATCAGTCTCATGAATTCCGAAGAACCTCGGATTTCATCATGAGGCGTCACAATTACTCCTTCAAATCCCAGGGCAGAGTTTAAATGGTTTAATTTGTTTATTCTAGTTAGCGTTTTTTGGCAAAGTTGTTTTCTACGGGATGGGGTTGTCAATCCCATGCCCAACCCTCCTCTTTTACCCGGTCTTGGGACTGGCAGTAGCCCTAGAAGAGCTACAGGAGGAGTTATTATGATCACTATTTTGTCAGTATAAACGTGTACGCTTGATCACATGTGACAGCCCATACACATATCTTTCTCTGATTAATATGTTAATCGTTTAAATATCACTCGATGAGTCATTCTGTTTCCCATGTATATATGCACTCGAATCCTATTATTGACCTTTGCCTAGCTGCGCCTTATTCGATTTGACTATAAATTCGCCTCTATATTTATTCGTATACACACATTCACCTCTTTGCTACAAATTCGCTCGATGTGTTTGTAGCTTTGTTATTAGTGCTATGCGCTAATAAACTGTAGTCACCGTTTCTTATAGCCTTCTGATTTCGAATGTTGGGATTTATATAATAACAGTTATCAAGGTGATTTACTAACGAAACTAAGCACCACAGAAATGGTGAGCCCGACGTGATTCGAACACGCAACCTTCTGCTCTGGAGTCGGACGCTCTAACGTTGCGCCACAGTTATCAAGGTTAACGAAGCTAAGCTATTACGAGACAAATGACAACGCTTTATGGATCGAATGGAAGCTCAGAAACAAAAGATAGAACAACATCAATACGAAAACTGTACAATGAAAATCTAAATAACAATCTCTTGTGTGATACTCCTATGAGTAATACTTCAACAGTACTCGTCCTATTATTTCAGAGATATAATACATTTTGTTTTAGAAGCAAACTATTACGAACAATCTGTCTGATATTAATATCAGATATTAAATAAATTACCTACCGCTGCTAACACGACATTTGTCTTTTGCAATACAGAAAGAACATCAAGAACTATGGAAAAAAACTATGAAAAAAAAACTGTACTGCTCGAAAAATTTTAACGAGATGAATCGATTGCACAGATTTTCGGGAGGCTTATGCAAACGATTCAACAAAAATGTCAGTTTAATAAGGAATGTTGTTCCAACGTTAAACTACAAGTTTGTAGTTAATAAAACATTTGATTGGAAGTCAACTCGATGTAACCAATAAGCCAATTGACCACGATTGGATTTTGGATTGTCATTTCAGATAGCAACGGGTTTCATGTTGTCAGACGATTATAATACATTAAAATAAATGTATAACTAATCTTCAGTAGTTGAATTCATGGGTCGATTTAAGCTAAACCACCATTGAAAACCTGGAAGCACTGGACCGCCGATTCGTCCCAGTATGGAACTCCTCTGCAGTACGCATGCACGGTCGCGCATTCGGGACTCCATTACAAGACTCGCGCACAAATGCTTGACCTTTAGACCACTGAGTCGGCATCCAATAGTGTTAATGTTTAACTTTAGTCGATCCGTGATCTTGTGCAACTATTCATTCATTGTCTGAGCTAGATACCTGTTTCTAATCGTTCAGTCATTTAGCTCTTGTTCGTTCAAATACTGACAGACAAAATTATTTGAAATTGAAATACCTGTTATCAATAAATAAACTTACGCAAAAAATCCTTCTTCAGTCCATATTTTCCAAGCGCAATGAAGTGTATTTTTATACTTATGTGCATCAAGGCCCTACGGAAAAAAACCAGGAACTTTAGTAATTAAGTTATTTTGCACTGAATTAAATGGGAACAATAGTAAAATATGTCAATATTGATTATTCAGAACAGTTTAACTTCTTAAACATACCTTCAATTCAAAGAAACAAAACGCTCGTGTGATATTTTGTAAATATAAAATACTTGAAGTACATGAAAGATATTCCACTGCCTATGGAAGGTCAAATATTCTGAAGAGCAGGACATGATCTTTGAAATCAATTACCATGAGCAAGCAACTCGTAACAGACAATAAACACTTTGAAGCAGTAGTTTTCTAATGTATAGTAACCATAACCTAAAGTAACATGACAAATAACATGGGTTTGTGAATTCACTAATAGTTTATCTCATGAAGGTGCAGAATCTGCGGTTGGAGTAAATCCAAACAACTACAGTCAGTGGTTGGAGACTTGAGACGATATTTTTCAAAATAAGTGTCAATGGAGCAGATGCCCTATTACATAAATACCATCACCCTTAATAATTTTCTTCATGTTATAAGGTGATAATTATTATTCCTTGAACTGAGATCTATTTTTACCTGGTCCTAAGTTATTTGTCCTTTCTGAAATTTGATAAATTAAAGAACAACTGACGAATAATCAGGAAGAAGTAACTTGGTGACATTTTTGTCATTTTCAAGCGAGATATTTGAAAATGTACACAGCATATTGGATTGCATTGAGCCAAGAAATGGGATCTATTGACTACAAGCTAGTGTTTTTCAACTGTTTGATTGAAAAAAGGCCTGATTAAACGATAAAACGATCGTTTTCTGGAAATCAACAAATTCTTAGAGATAATTAGGCTAACAATGAGGACATATTTGTTCTACGAAGGTTATAGATGTGAAAATTTTAAATAACAGTTGTAATCTCATTAACGACAGGGAAGGCCAACAGATTGGAGTTAAGGAAATTCTAAATAAACAAAAGACTATTTCTTGGTCAGTAGTACGATATGATGAGGTCTGGTTGAAGACAAAGATAGGTTGCTAAAAGAAGAGCAACAGGATGTTGTATATGAAATTAAATGTAATGCCGTAGAAACATCTGAACGACTGAGTATGAGATTGAAGAAACACAACAATGTTTGAAAAGGACTTCTCAATCGTCGGTTGATATCAAGAAACCTGAGAGTAAATCCATAATAGCGCTAAGTTTGTCAGAAACAGACAACAAAATCAATTTGAAGAGGATTAAAATTCTTCAGAAAGGGGTTAGCACCCACAAATAAAAGACTGACAAAAGAAGCGCTGTATGTATGGAGTAATAGGGACATTTTGAACAGAAATGATGGAACACAACTAATTACTTCTTGGCAACCGCTTATCAGAAAGTAATTTAGACTTTATCTCTATCACCCTGTTTGTATCACACATAGCTTTACTTTAAAAAAAATTTAATTATAATCATACGTGAAAATCATATTTGAAATAAACTCAGTGATTGAAATTTAAATAATCCCAACGTTTCATCCAGCTAACTTGTCTGGACTTCTTCAGGGCAATAGTCGAAATCATCAAATAAATATACAGCCTTTTAACAATCAAATCAGATCAAATGTAAACTGTGTTAATCCAATCATATTTGGATGTTGATCTTAGTAAATAGGATAACATGAGTCAGAAGCGCTGTATATATTGGCGAACAAGAACAGGCTGAACCAAAAGGATGATATTCAACTAGCGACTACTTGGCAAATATTCGTTGACAAATATTTGGATCCTTTCTTGATTCAACCTGTTTATTTCACATGCATCGTTATTTAGAAATTAATATGAGTTATATTTAGCAATACAATTATATATTTGATGATTCTCATTTTTACTTGCACTTCAATGATCCAGACTTATTATCCAGAGTGATTAGGTTTTGAATTGTGTTCACATTATTATAATTACTCTTATCCTTATCCTTATCTCCTCTTACCCCGTTTCCTGTTGACCTTTTATTTTTTTATATATAAATGCTATTAACAAGTGTATGTGTGATCAGATTGTTCGAAATGTATTGCGCTAATATATCACATAGTTCTGATAATCTTCGTCTTCTAATTACATTATCAAGATTCAAAAACAATTTCTCAACCTTCAACATGTACTTTTATTTTTCTTCATATAAAAACATATTAACAACGAATATCATTCAGTAATATCTCAATCTTACATGTACATACACACACACACAATTAGTTTAGTCATTTATTTTTCACATCGTAAACTTTTCACATGTTTCGCATTTAACTGACGAAACGATGAAATTATTTAAATTTCAATCGCTAAGATTATTTCAAATATAATTTCCACATTTAATAACTTTTAATGGATAAAATGATTAAGGTGTCTTTGGCAGAAAACAGAAACTGCTTATAATTATTAATAGAATACAATTAAACCGATATATACTTTCATCCATTTCCAATTTTCACAGCTTACTGACTAATATTTTCCCACTTAACGGCATAGACAAATAAATATTGTAAGATTAGATTCTAGAATAGACAAGTTTGCAAACATTACATGCTTTCTTTATAATTTTAACTTTCATAATTACCCGGAAGAAATCCAGACAAGAATGATAGACGAAACGTAGGAACTATCAATATTTTTGTCGATGATTTCATTCTATTTTAAACAGTTATATGAACGAAGAGTGTTCTTTTCAGTAATTTCTCATCAGATCTTACAACTATAAATCCAAATTAATAATCCATAAAATTGGCCAGTTTTAAGGTACAGTACATCATTTAAAATTTCAATATATGAATCAAGAGTTGTTGTTTGTTATATATAAAATAAAATCGTTAATGTTAGGATGACTAATACGAAGTGGATGGTGAGTGCACATTACTGAGAAGTCTGATACTAGAACGAAACGGCCGTCTAGTGCTTCCAGGTTTTTCATGGATTATTAATTTGGATATATAATTTTAGGACCTGATGAGAAATTACTGAAAAGAATATTCTTCGTTCATATAATTGTTGGAATTGTTAATCTTTTATTCATGTTTCAATAGTCTGCTTCTATTTTGGTTTATTTTAGTGTTGCAAAAGCGTTTTAATCTTAAAGTCTTCACTAGAAAATTGGACTAAAACTGTCTAGACTGGATCATGCATACCAGTAAGTCTATTATGCATTTTGAGGGGGAAAACTGGAGTTTTGACAATGGAGAGACAGACGTTATACATGACATAACTTAGGAGTTGAATTTGTAGTAATGTGTTTGATAGTATACTGTAGTCGTGTTAGACAGTTGGTAACGATTAGTAGGAAGCTCTCGAAGCCAACCTTTATGTTAGTTATCTAATGATAAGTATATATATGGATACGCTTGATCTAGAGTATAGATCAAACTTACTACGATGGGGCTGACAAGATAATTTTCAACAATCTGATGTTGTAAGCGTAGACCACGATATCGGCATACGTAACCAAGTGGGTATTATGGGAACGTGATCTACAAATCATGATCAGCACTGAATATTAGTTGATTGTGGCTGATAAATATTGTGATAAAAGTACACTTACTTGCATTCGAGTTTTGACAACATCCAGAGGTGTGTTTCCATAGACGGATGCTGCACCAGCAATAATCCCAAATAATCCAGTTAGTAATTTTGGGACAGGTAGTCCAGTAGTTTTGTCACCTCGATACTGTCGATAACCATCCTTCAAAGTTTCCATTACAAAGAAACGAATGGCTTGATTACTTCCTTGTTTCAGAATTGTCGGTGTTACACCTTTGTACATACCAGTAATCCCTACAACATGAAAAGAAAACTAATGAAGATTTGATCATTTACTCATTCCTATATGACTTAACATAATTTCTTGAAATTTAAACAGAAAACAGAACTGATTAAGCCGGCACTGATGCCGGCTCAGCGGTCTAATGGTTAAGTGCTCGCGCGCGAGACTGATGGGTCCTGGGTTCGAATATCGCGGGATTGTGGATGCGCACCGCTGAGGAGTCTCATACTGGGACGAGACGGTCATCCAGTGCTTCCAGGTTTTCCATGATGGTCTAGCTTCAATAGACTCATGATTTCAACTATTGAAATAATAATCTACTGACAATGATGGAACAAATATTTATAAAATTATTAGAATGACTAATGCAATGAAACTAATAATTTCTTTGACTATCTTTGTTCACAAACCTAACTGAGTGGAAACACTGATCCATTTTCTAAATACATCGTACAAATGGAGCCATGAGTTATGTATCAGATAATAAACAATGAGGTAAATGATGTTCACAAAACGGTTAGTTTATGTTGAATGTTTGCCTACTGTATTACCCACCATGATCAGTACAGGTGCATTAAGAAACAACGATATGAATTCAATAAATATGTATCACTTATAAACTAGACCATATTGAAGGTATTAATAAGATAAACAGGAGAGTTACGAAATTTCAAATTGATTGATCAGCTCACATTCAAACGTGAAAGCAACTCCATACACATGGAGAGACATGTCTGTGGGTATTCTCGAGAATGTTTCATGGAATCTACATCTCTGGCACTAAACTCATAAAGTAGTGGGATAGCCTATCAGATGTCGGATACAGCATCAAGATTAGAAGTTATGTAGAGGCAAAAAAGCTTTCTTTGTGTTATATCCCGATAAGAATAATGAATGGTAATTTTTAGGATGCATCTATGGATCAGTACTATGAGTATATTTTTATCGTGTAATTGTTATGTAACTAAACTGTTCATATTCATGTCCCTCTTATTATGAGTTTTATTTTGACCTATGAACTATTCTTGTACGATCTACCATTCTTGGATTGTCCCCTGTCTGTTAATCACTACCTCCCTCATTCACAGCCACTTTTGACCAAATATTGTACAAATGTTATTTTCTATTTTATACTACGTTGTGGTCTGTTTGATTGGTATATAAACCCCGCATGTTTGAAATAAATGATTCATATTGCAGAGGCTGAGATTGATGTTCTGGACTTAACTGGCTGGGCTAGACAGGAAGTGAGACCAATCAGGACTCTAGGCTGCTCGCATGTGTTTTATGCGTCACTGGTTGGATCGATAACTCGCCGCTCTCTGATTAGCGGTATCGTTGCGCTAATCCAATATACAGGGCACACAAGTTCACAAGTTACAACACTGCTTCATTTGGTTTACCTTATTGACTCAACGCGTGCATTACTGTACTTTAATATTCAATAATTTTCAATTCTTCGTTTGACCTGTAGATAGTTGTCACATATTTTATTGTAATTCATTGGTCGATGTGTCAATTGGTAGGTAGAAGATCATCTGTTCTAATGGTAATATAGCTGAACTGATCAGTAATCGGATTAGAGAAAGAGAGCAAGAGGTCATATAACTGCTTTCCTGTCATTACGGCTCGATCTTAAAACATCCAATACAACCCAAGTAATCTGTTTTTTCCGATATAATGATGATACAATGGGTTTCAAAATATACCTTTATTTATTTAACATGGAACGTTAATTAGACAAATGTAAAAACATGACAACACTTCCATCATATTACCAGTCTTTGGGAAATTAAACATGATATTAAAAAACAACTGTAAATTTGTTTTCTCACTTATGTCACCGATTACGGTATATTTCTTCTACTGTAATATAGTTTTCACAAAATCACCAAAAAATATAAGTAAAGTTTCAAGTGATTTCTCGGTAGGAAAAAACTTCGTCATTCATAGGTTTCAAGAAAACATCTACTTAATATGCTTCTTCAACCTTTGTTATAGATCGGTAAAGATTATTTAACTCAGTTGTTTGATAAGTAGGTGTGGTTCATTATTCTAGGCACTTAAAGTTTGGTCGGTATATTGTAAGTCCGAAGATTATGTGATTGACTTTTCTATAAACAGCATGGCAATGAGTCTAAATAAAAATGCTTAGGACTTGAACCTTATAACTAAGTTTTTAATATTTCATTTATACCTAAAATTTAAGTTTAATTAAAGCAAATTAGTTCGACAATTTAATGTTTTTTGAATGTACACAGAATCACTAAGATCAATGTGTATATGGTAGATGAAAGTAAGTAAACCACTAAGAAAACTTAAATTCCAATAGAATTCCTATATCACTAGAATTCTGCATGTTTAGTATGATCTAAACAATCATAGCAATCGCAACAGGTGATAGAAAAGTAATATCAACTAATATGAAAATAAATAAATTGGAAACGTGAAAGATTCTAACTAATTATTTAATATTGGGGTAAATTTATCGATCAGAAATCAACGTTTGTGGAAATCTAAAACATCAGAAAAATACATGTAATCAAACGATATTGTGTCACTGAGATCATGAATTGATCTAGGTCAGTCCATCATTGATAACTTGGGAGAACTGGACGGCTGTTATGTCCCAGTATGACACTCCTCACAAGTGCGATTTTAGGACAAGGATTCGAACCCTTAACTTCTAAACGACTGAACCAAGATCCAACAGTATAAAAGTTTAACTTGAATCAATCCACGACATTGCGCAACAATTTTTCATTTTCTCCAGTGGGTAACGTCCTGACACCCAATGCGGTTGAACTCCATTGGTTACGGCTTCTGACTAGAACTCATTCGAACCCTTATTGGCTTTACTTATATGCATCAATCGAGGCACTCTGTGGATCAATGGTAACAATGGAAAAGGAATACACAATTAATCCTAGTAAGTAAGTCAAAGCTCCAAAAAATGAATTCATCGGAAATGACGTGATAAGAATTCGTGAATATTTACCTGACATACGTAGATAGTAAAGAAGAGAAAGGGTAGAAGGAATGAGTTATAACGTCTATCGAATTCTCACCCTCCCAAAGAAGGAATAAAAGTGCTACAAATTTCTTAAGAACACAAGGACTAAAAAGGTTTGCTTGAAAAAGTATTGCTTTCACTAAATGCAAAAGACGAGAACAAATTATATCCAGAAAATTTGAAAGGAAACATTAAATAACTCTTGCTTCTATCTACCAAATAACAACGATGAACTAGATGTGATTAAAAGGAGTTGTATAATGATTTCTAAAGTTATTCTTAAGTCGGACAAAGACTAGGGAACCTTTTGAGGCTTGATAAATCAAGTTAATCTGTAGTTTATAAACATACCGAAATCGATTCAATTTATCAATGAATCAGAAAAATCGTGGACAACTATCAGGTCGAAAAAGGTAACAACCAAAACAAGTATCAAAAACAACAAATAAACATCAACTGAACAGGTTGCCAGTAATATGTGCGGAAATTCGGATGCATCGCTTCAATCTGAAGTTCATATTGATGGTATTTCCCAGAAGCTAGGTGTTCGCTAACTCATAGGTTAAGTTTTCCATCTGAACGACCGATTCACCTTTATGCACATGAGCAGGTGAAGTGGTAAAACTATGTGAATTATCTTTTATTTGAGGAACTATCACTCGTCAACTAGAAAATGATAAACAAGTATAAGCTGCATTAAAAGGACTTTTCAATGATCTAGTTACTCTGTCACGTTGAACACCTCCAGTCACATCTCCGTTAAACTATAACCTATGCCAGGGACGTTTTATACGATCAGTTCGTGTTTCAACTTTCATGTTCATTATACACGAATATTTCTTAAAAAAGGAAACACTAAACGCATCCTATTTCAATCAAAATGCTGTGAATAAACCTTATTTTTGTCTACATTATCGATATATTTACGACAGTACCTAACGCCTTACTGTTAGTCTACATTGTTTACCTATTATTATTATTTATATAATCCCTTTTCATTATTATCAATGACCGACAGATTACCTAGAATGGTTTAATTTTTTTCATATACGCATATAAATTTTACCATATATTACAGTAAAGCTTAATGAATATCTGATCAATAACAATATAATTCTACTTTACATTCTGTGAATTTCAAATATTTCCGGACCAATGTTTACATAAGATTATAATAACAGAGTTGATTTGTACATTATATCTCATCTACATAAAAATACTTGATAATTTCATAAGTTTAATATTGTCATTTTTACACTTTAGTAACAAAAATTACCTCGTTGTTATGATTTTCAATGGTCTAAACAGTACACAAAGAAATATTCACTTCACATTTTACACGATATAGTGTAATGATCAGTTGATTCTTAGATTTTGCGCGAAATCGATTGCCTCATTTTTCAGCCCTGGTCGGCATGTCTCTATACAATACTTTTATACCAAATAGTAAACTAAAAGAAAAATCCAGTATCGCGCGGTCGAGTGTGCACAAACATTCATTTTATGACTAAACAATCATTTACAACAAGTATTTTGAGACGAACAAATATGCATACAATTTTGTCGATAATTCAACACCCAACAAGAGGATTCCAATTATATACTATCTAAAGTCCTTACTATATTTTCAGGATTCCATACAGTTAATATGTTTTCAAGATAACTAACGCATAACAATTATAGTTATAAAACTTGAAAAAATGGATGACGAAGAAAAGTAAATCATAATCATACAGTGAAACCAATTCCTCAAACCATCCTCATATCCTTTACCACATAGAACCAACTGATAGCCTTCATCATGATAGCGTTTAACTGTGAAAGAATACAGCAGATTACGTATCTCGGATAATAACTTTAGACGATACAGTCGTATTTGTTTAGATCCGAAGGAAGTGAAAACTTTAGGAATTCAAAGAACGTAAAGGGGCTCGAGAAATGACAATATTTTAGTCAGTTGGTGGTCAGCAGGCGAATAAATACTGAAAAATACCGTGATTTCTAGTGAAATTTCTAATTTATTTAAGCTCATTAGATTACATTCCAGCCCTGCTATTTTAACAGATTTAAGATGTAATCTTACCGCATTTTACCTGTAGCTGACATGAAGAAATGATTTTTAAACCTTATGTGACATTATAATTGCTTAGTTAGCTTTATAGTTGTGTTGACAAAATGACGCCACTTTAGAGCTAGAAGCTAGCTGCTACAAAACTACGAAGTTGTGATCCGCCTACAGATTACGACTTCCACGTCAATTATTAGTCAACTTGGCATCAAAGAATGCTGACCTTTCATGCTTCCCGATAGAGCTTTAGTGTTAACTAGTTTGAAACAACCACTGAACTCTTTCATTTTTTACAAAATTATTGTTTCAATGAATGCGTAATATTTAACATTAACAGCTTACCATGTTCTTTGACGATACAGCCACAGCCATGGAAAAAACCACGATAATGTGGATTTTTAGATGTTTGATCATTAATAAATTTCACTTTGATGGTTTCCATCGGAGTAACTACCATTATAGCTTCACAAACCCCTGCGCCTATAAGTAATAATGATGTATAAAAAAGAGTGTAAGATATGTGGTATAAATTTGGATAGCACTACAAAATCCACTTATCCAATAAAAATTTAGATTTTTACCATCATTATTTTACAATGCTGATGTTTTATTGAAAAATATTTTTGATTGAGATCCATTTATCTTCCTCACAGGTAGATCTTGGACTCCTCCCTTTAAGACATTTGGCACAATCCTATTCAGCGACTGGAAAATAAGTTTTATGGGAGTTGCATCTCTCTCATCTAAGTTATTTTACATTCATCAAATAGGTGTAGGGACAATGCTGTCACTCACTTGATTAATCTTTAATATACCCAACTGATCTTATAATCAAAATAAATCTGGGTTAGAAGCAGATTATTCAAAAGAATTTCCACAGCTCATATTATTTCCTTAAAGATACAAACTTTGAAAGAACTGTACCTCAATAACAAGTCAGTCCTTGTTTTGACGAAAGCACTGAAGTGGCCTGGTAAGGCCGAAAGATGAAGCAAGTTCACTCCCTCTCGAAATGCTGTCGTTTGACCACACGTTTATAGCTATCATCAGGAAGTTTATGGGAGTCCTTCAACAGGGATTCGGTTACGAAACTGTAGCACCACAATGACTGTTAATAGTGATGATGAAGGATTCATGAAATGTTTTCTCGTCTAATTTCATATCAAAATACTTAGGATAACCCTATTAAGCGACGACGGTAATAAAAGCCAAATATGCAATGTTTTGGAATAATTCTATTTCAGGAGTTCATGTGCAAGCTTATAGACAGTAAACATGAACAGGTGAATGTAGCGGGATCTCTGACTATTGCTAGCCAAAAGACAATTAGTCAAGGGTTAGCCCTTTTTTATCAAATAAAGAATATACCAAATACAGATGGATAGATAAGCAACCTACTATCCTATAGATAAACATTGACATTCGTACACACACGAATATTGAAAAAGAGGATGGGAAAGAAAGAATATAGCAGTCGTCTATTGAACAGAAAATATTTTGAGTTTTGATCAAAAAGGATTAAAATGACATTTACACTTACCTAAACCACATAAAAGTTTTCTTCCAGCTGTAAGAGTTCCATCTGGAGATAAATTATGACGTTTAAACTCTTCAAATGCTCCAAATCTAACAAAAAAACGTAGTAAAGTATAAAACGTAACACTCAAGAATTAATGTAAGCCGCTTCTTCAGAGTAAATAGATAACTGACATTAAACTTGTGCTAATTTAATTGTCGTTTTTTTATGTACTCTGAAGAAGTGGCTTACATTAAGTTAGAAAACGCCAGAAATACAATTTTTCTACTCATTGGGATATAATAAAAATATATTTATTTATCATTAACTCTCTACCCAACGCTCAATTTATTTGAAACTACCAAGTCCAACCTTGGTATTAATACGTGTGACACTCAGATTGAATTTTTTCTTAGAAGAATAGATGAAAACGTTATTTATTTTGCTATCATTATGATAAGTTATACTTATGAAAATTAATCAATTCTAGATAACAAATTAAAATATGGACTCATGAAAAGTAAATAAAAATGTGTATTCAGATTATTTAGGAAATAATTCTGAAATTAAACGATAAAACCGTTTAGCTTATAAGGCAACATTAGACAAAAACACGTTAGCATGATACATTACTATGCATCACGAAAATTTAACTAACTTTCTAGAATATGGTAAGTTTGTTGGCTCTGTATATTAAATGGATGTGAATATTCATATATGTAATCTAAATAAGTAGATAATGATTATATGAAACCATTTTGTAAGATGATGTAAATTAAGATTAGTCAAGGTTAGAAATTCAATGAATAGAAATTAGTGATACATATTTATTGCTTTGATAATCATGTTTAAATTTCACATCAATTCGATTGTTTTTTTCGTTTCTAATTGTTAACTTCCTGTCATATCAAAATTAAGCGTATTTACTTATACAGTCTATGTCTGACATCGTTTGTTTGTAGATATTTACTGCTTTCAATCTGATGTTTGACAATATCGAGTGTATTTTGATAACCATTTAATTTTTTGTTGTTGCTTGAAACGTTTTGAATACAATATCGGTCTTCTAAAAGACACCTTGTTTGAAGATATATATCTTTCAAGTCGAAAATAGTTGCCCTGCGTAACAGTGCTGATAAAATACGTTAGAAGAATGGACAATGAACATCGATGACAAATATAGCTTACTACAATTAACTTATGAAATAAATCATTTTTAATAGTAAAGGACTTCCAGAAGATTATGCAATCAACTAACATTTACATCAAATAATCTATAGCTTTTTGATGAAGAGGTTGACACGGTTGGTATATCAAATGTTAATACCGAGAATATGTCACATCTTTGACCCTACGTCTCTCTTCAACTTGCTTACTTTCAACTTTAAATGCCTCATATGTTAACAGACTCACCTGACAGCCGACTTGGGAACAGAGCCATATAGGAGAACAGGTAAACCTCGATACAAACCACGAAAACCATAAGATCCTACCGTCTTCTTTACACAGTCAATGGGTCCCGAATATTGTCTGGCACTACCCATACGTTCGTCAAGTTGTAATTGTGTCTTAACATATTCAGTCGGGAAAGTGATGCAAATCTCAATTGCTCCAGTGACTCCACCTGTGATAAACTTAGCAGACTAATAAACACTCACGAACCTGCTATGGCTCCTTTTACCGTTTGTTCAATAAGAGTTGATTTATGAGGTCCTTGACTTTCATGAACCATGCCAGAATAACTAAAAAACAATACCATACATTAAAAAACATGGTAGCTCTTTTGAAACCAAACACTTATTCAAAACAGTTTCCTATCTCAACAAAACCATCGAGGCCTGTAAAATTTCTTGATAAACATTACATGTCTCAAGAGAGCATATACTGCAGTACTAATTAATGTCAGTAAGAGCAGGTTTCCTTGATAACATTTTGCGAGAAAGCATTGAAGTTATGTGGGGCTCAACCACGCACCATAAGAGTTCGTTCACAAAGCGTTTATTATTGCTACCAAGCAAATATCTTTTGTTTTGGAAAAGAACAATAAATCCTAAGCAAAGTTTTACATATATTTTTTTATCGCACTACGAATATTACACATCTATGGACTTTCTTCTTAGAAACATGAAACCATATTTCGAGATCTCGTTATATTAAATATAAAAACGTTTCAAACTAATCACGTCCAGAAACGATTACGTTATATAGCGAATTCCATGGTGTTTTCTTTTTTAGGTACGTTACAGTTAATGACAAACCACAATAACATTATATAAATAGATTTCAAATCCACCCTTGGTCAATGTATGGCTACTATATGTTTAAAGTACGAGTAAAGAATGATAATCAAGGATAGCATTAGCAACTTCGGCTTGAAAAGAACAGATTAGCCAAAAGGCGTTTACTAAAGAAAACTATTTAAACTATTTATCCACTGTTCTGGAAGTTGAATTTTTTAAATATGGAAGAGTTATGACGCCCAGATTCACCAGGATTCACCGGTTCGATGCCTCTTCTGATAAACGGGGTAGTAATCAACATATAAGCGTGGAATGTCAGAACAATTTAATAAACCAGGAAAATCTTTCAAGTAGCCTCACAAATGATAAGATACAACTTACTCATACATAGTCTTCTTCGAGACTATGGAATAACTGAGAAAGGACATATACGAAAGACTGAATTACAAAGTTGTGGATATAAAGCAGCTCACAGATGCGTTTGAAGTGAAGAGTAGGGTCTTAAAAAGCTATCTACCCTCATATTTTCTAATACTGCTAGCGACTAATTGGATTATGAGGAACTTAATAACTTGGGAGAAGCATGCAATACAGTGTTCACCTTATACGCAGATGATAATAGTCAGTGAAGTGACTCCTTCTAGGGCAGTATTCCTTAGTATTCACGAGCACAAAGATAAGATCGTGAAGTAAAGCGTTGTGAACAAGAACCGAGTCTCACTTTATTGGCGAGACTTCAGAACAGATGAAAGCCTTTCAGTACTTGAATAACACTAATAAACAAAGAGGATTTGATGTAGATGTCAAGGCATGAATCAAAGAAACAGTGGCAACATTCCTAAGATTCTAAAACGTTCGGCAATCAAAATAACTGTCACTAAAGAAGAAAATCAGAATTCTCATCACAAACGTTAAGGACGTTATACGAGGCTGAAACCTAGATAACTACCACAACCATCCCCAAATTGGTGCGTATATTAATGAACATCCACCTATGAAACATGCATAAGACCCAGTGTTTAGAAGACATCAGCAACTCAGCTGCAATTTCAGGAAATAGTTAGGAAAAGATCATGGAGCGTGATAGGACACAACTTTTGAAAACCGCCGAAACACATTAAAGACCAAGCACTGACCTGGAATCTTCATAGCTTAGGGGAAGAAACGGACAACAAAACACACGGTATCGGGAATTAGAGAATGACGACCTGGCAACAAGTGGAAGGGAAAGCTCATGATGATAGAGAAGTTTGGATATCCTTGGTCAAGAGCAAATACCCCATGAGAAATACAAGGTTTAAGTTATAATGATAATGACTAGACTGAGGTATTTTACAAAAACCACGTACAGGAAGCGTTCACTAATGGTTACTCATATATTATTCAGGAAATTCAATTATATGAGTCTTCAGGATATTTATGATGAAGCTAATCTCAAAATACCTGAAATATTTATAAAAACAATCATGAATATAAAATAAATACTTCATTCAAAATTGAACTTAGTTTGTATTATTTAAAGAACACGTTTAACACTCTCAAAAGTGCAAACAAAACTTCAATAACTTTGAATGATTTTCAACAAATTATAAAGTCCAAAGATGGTTGATACAATGCATTAAGAATGAGATGAAAATTTACATAATATTGATCCCAGCAACATTAAGGGATCATATTCACATAAAACATCCAAAAAACAGAGCTTCAAACTGCGAGGTCAGAAAACACACTTTTTAAAAAACAGCGACGTAGATGTTTAAAATATAGAAATATATTCCTAGATCACAGAAATCACTAAGAACTCGCTCATAATAAGTGGAAACCCAGTGAACACTAGCTATCTGAACTCCCAAGCTGAATCTCAAATCATCAAGTAAACAAGCAGCTGAGGAGAAGACCAGAGAGCAAGATTTTTTAGGATAATATGTAGTGCAGATAGTAGTGTTAAAAGTCTATTATTATTATTATTACTTAGCTACAATTGTAGCAAAACAAATACCATCAATAAATAAGGCGATAAAACCACGAGTCCCTTACATCACGAGACAAAGTATTTAAAACCTAACGAAAATCTACGGTATTTCAGTGTAACTTTTTTCATCGTTCGGAGATTACATGTAGTTTATTCTCATCTGGAATAGTTTTTGAAGACGTACATTCAAATTAGTGATAGAGCATATACTTCCTACGACACACAATATAATCATTTAAAATTCAAAAGCATTTCGATTCATTTTAGTGACAGTACTATACGAGCAAGCTAGAAAAGAGTATCTTTCGGTGTAAAAGCTTTAACTGCCACCACGACCTTGTGGTCAAATCGTTATAAAGATGAAAGTACAGCTAAAGTATTACGAAGTAACAAAATATATAACATCTAATATTAATATGTCAAATGCATTTAAACTAAATGATTCTTTTTAAATTTGTCTTCCTGGGCAATTTTGAAACAGAGTATTCTTCAGTCTATGACGAAAATGATATGGGCACTAGATTGCTAAAACCAGAGACAGATTACTAAACGCTTCGCTACTCTGAGATGCAAAAGGGCACTAACTGACATTTTAGTGGATGGAATTTTGAAAACTCAGCAACCAAGAGTCGCGAGACGTTTTAAAAAGATATTGCTGGTTAATTTGCAACACTAGCGAATGATACGATTGCTCCATGTGGTTCATCCATGTAATATACACTTTGGTATCCTTCACTGCTCTCGGATCAATACTTTTGTCAATCCTTAAACTTTGTAGGATAGTAAGGCTCTACTCCACAGCTAAGTACACTGTCTAATCGTAGTATTATCCTAAATGATTTTCTTCCAGTTTAACGTTTCACTAATGTCTGTATTGTATATGATTCAAAAGTGATCACCGCCATATATATTATTATATGAGAATGAATGACCTCATCTGTAAGATAGCTATTCGATAGCAGGTTATGAAAAAGGATGGATAAGAGTTTCGGTTAAGAAAAAAGTTTTAAATAGAATAGTAACCTTATATTCAGTGATAAAACAGCTTTTATAAACGGATAGTTTATGGAAAATACAACATTGATATTGCAAAGCGTCAACAGATTTTACATGGCTGGCAAGCCCATTAGGTCCTACTGCAAACTACACTATCAGAAATTAAAAAGACTCGTTCTGTGGTATTTAAACAGCCTATTTTCTGATATCTTGATAGACCTCAAAATTTCATTTATTTTGTTTAATCTAGCTTTCGCTGTTAAAGCAGAACTTACCTGTTCTTCCCATTGCTTGAGGCTTTCCAGTGATAAGCTTCAAAGGATAACAACTGATTTATTGAGAGTAGCAGTTATCTCAAAACCATAGCAAGAACTACTAATTAAGTCACCAGCTACTAATCTATGATTCAAAATAAAATTTTAAGCGACATAAAAAATAATGCTTGATTAACCTAATTTAGTTACACTATTAATGTTTTAAATTGAGTTGCAATATATGGAGTTGATCGAGTTTAAGGAGGTAGATTCCTTGGAAACTTATTTCCTCGCTTTCCTTCTTTAATTTTAATTCATTATTGTTCTCAATGACATGAAATCTGTATTTTTAAAAATGGCAAGCATTATGCTAACGTTTTTGAGACTTTCATATTGTTGCATTTTTGAAGAAATCAAAAATCGTTTCTCCACAAAATGTATCCACCTATAAGCAGCTTTTGAATAGTAAAAAATAATAAAACTTTTCGTTTATTTGAAGTCACCTGCGGTATGCAGTTTAGTTGTCAACACTCTCGAAGGGAATACTTAACTGAAAACGAGCTTAAAGAGGAGGTTAGAGGTTCTCGAATGTGAGACCAATAAATGTTCCATAGAGTGCTAAAAGTGTCGCGCAGCACAGTACATGTCTGGGAGTTCCCCACAGACATGCTATACCTCAATTTGATGTCTAGCGACCGTCTCGAAATGATTGATATAGGTACCTAGATTTGTTTAACGTTTGCTTGTAAGACTCACCCTATTGCCTAATGAGGTGCGTTTACTGCGATACTTTTATGCGCTTTGATGTCCTGGTGTGTGAACATGGTTGCTTTGAGATAACTTGACTAAATATGGAGAATGCTTTTTGCATTGTTGAGTTTCTCATCTACAGGAAGTGTGTCTTTTTAGAGTCTCATGAGAGACGCGCAATTTGGTATGAATTATTAACATAAACTTACCGGTCATTGAACGCACGTATTTGGTTGACTGTAAGCGGTTCTGAATAATTCACAGTGGTCACCATCTTTATTGTCAAGGGGCGAATGCTCTGGGCACCATTAGTGTGTCCGAGAAAATCTAAGGAGTTGCTTTCAATTTCATATTTCTGAATGTTCGCAGTAATGTTGTTTTTGCAGTCGTTCGTAAAGAGGGTCCAGATGCTGGAGATGAGATTCTCTCTACTGACTTGCAGTCGATTGGTAATATACATATGCGTATACTAAAGTAAGACCTCTGATAGCATCATCAATGAAACTCTAGATAGTTTGATTAGCATTTCTTCAGCGGAAATGCGTGCGAGGAAATTCATAGTTAGTTGGGGGTGATGATAGCAGTTCTAGAGGTGTTTTCTGCAGTTATAGCAACTTGATCGTATGCTTTAACCAAACCGACCTTTGGAAATAAACAGTCAGGCATGGGGTAAAGTTAGGGAGTGTCTTTCGTATCCAGTCTTCGATAATCAATCAATCGACAACAATCGTTGCTGCCTCTCACAGGGTCATATCCAAGGCAGGTATCAATGGGCTATTCGACGGCCGGATAGTTTCCTAGTCTATTGTGTACTCTAATACACTTTTAGCCAATATTAGCTTTTCAGGAGCTAGTCGGTGGGCTTTTGAAAATACAGATGAACCTGTAGTTGTGTGTTGCATTGTTAGTTACGGGCGGGAATTCGGTAGCGTTTAGTATAATTTGAGGCATTTGTTGAGTATCCGTTGAAAATATTGATCGATTAGGCGCTAACCTCCAGCAAGAGAATGCGATTTCACAAAGAGATAATTTCTCATCTCCGTCTTTTATCCGTCATTCGCTCGGGTAGATGGGTAGATTATGATGTTGTAGAACGTTTGTATTTATGATTAGCATACAAACATCCTCAACAACAAAACCTACCTTGGGATGAACATATTGCTTACCGTATATGGCAATCAACTTTCTACGTACCACTCAAAGTTGAAGACCGGTTCATGCAGACGGTCATTAGAACCCAACCAACAAACAAAAAAGAAATAGAGGGGAAAATGCATTCAAAAATAAATAAAAATTATAACGGAAACGCGCAATAATGTATGCTTTTTCGCCTATCCCAGGGGAATTAATGAGAATTTCCCCCGTTTTGTCGCTTTGTCGTTCAAATGTCGCTGAACTGTCTACTTTTCGCCTAAATATTCGCTGAGTTGTCCTTTTTTCGACTAAATATACGCCAAATTTTATTCCACCGTCTGTTATAAGTCGATCTGTGACAGCCAAGGACGCTTGACAAGTTAATAGTGGCCCTACGTCTACGAGCTTTCTCAGTGACTTCAATTGAACTCATAGTATTGGACTAAAAAGGCAATTAGTTATGATAAACATGAAAAACGGAGAGCATGTCTCTCACCTGCATCACGTTGGTTATTTGTGATGGCTTCCAAGCACTTCGAAACACTTAAGATAAACAAAAAACGAAATCAGTGTATATGCGTCTTAGCCAAATCCCTGTGTCCATATTTTTTTATTTGTGTTTATGACAATAGTTTTGTTTTTTTATTAAGCGGTGCTTTATTTTGTCGACGTTTAATAAAAAATAAGTACGGGATGTGGCATATTCAGACACGGTGCGTTATGTATAATTGTCGACAAATATCTCCCAAATACACGACGTAAGGTGGAAAAATCGACATTTCCCCTAAATAACCGAAGTGAAGGCGAAAAAGCGACATTTCTGCTCCATTTACGCTTCCGACCCCTTTACTTCCCCTTTTTCACCTTTATTTCCCTTTTATTAGTTGCTTGGGAATTAGCGGGAAGATTAGTTATTTCTGAGCTAGTTTCCAAGTGGTAGCGAACTTTCGTCCTCACATTAGTGCCATATAAGAGGTGGCTATTTCTGCCGGCTACAGTTGGCAATAACGCATGGCATCCGGGGAGTTTTCTGGAAAGCTTTTTGTGTCTGACGTTTTAGAGCTTGGGAAACCACATGGTGAAATTCAGGACGTGCGTATTGTCCTATTTGCTAGCCAGCGTTCATCTTTGCTTATTATGCTTGTGAAGTTAGGGGATATTGAGGCGATCCGCACAGGATCCACATATGCCGATAGGAGACTAATCAATTGCAGTTCTAAATTTTAATAGGAAGATTCAAACAAACAATAGAAAGTGAATTTAATTTCTGTTCAGTATATAAGAAACGAATCATTTGATATGGTAGTAAAATATAATGTCTATATAGAGTGCCAATTGTTAAAACCTTAAATTTCTATGTTTGTTGATATGACTCAACAGAGGTTGAGATAGATAAAGTCAACATAAGAGAGGTAGACCTTTTCGAATTAAAATTTCAGTGAAATGCCATAATTTAAATAAGTAGAGTTAAGAGACAAAGAATTCACCTCTAAAATTGTAACAACCTTAGAAATGTTTTTATGCAATATAAGTGTATCAAATCAAAATGCTCACACTTATATTTTAAATAAAAACTCTACAGGTATGTGCTTTTTTGTTATCTTTTTTAAAAAAAGTTTGTTAAATTATTACTGCTTATCTCAAAAAATCTTATGTAAGAATGAGAGAAATAATTGTTTGAATCATCTCAAATTTAAACTCTAAACTTACCATGATTTCCACTGAAAGGAGTACTTCAAGAATAATTTCCAAGGAACAGAAGTGATTAATTCACAGTTCCATTCATTTCAACCATTTCAAACACTGCATCCAGCAAAGTACATTAATTTTAACATTTAGATTTAGAATTAAGACAAATTTCTTTTCAATTAAATCACCATTAGGCTTTACTCTAATATACATGAATATTTATGTGAAAATTTGAAATCAACCAAGGCAATTTATGAGTCAATGATCATAATGAAATAGATTGTATAACTGCACATAATAGGTTAAAAAAATGATGATAAGAAGACAGGTATACTAGTAGTGATAAGATTGGTAAACTGCCAAATGTTCATGTCAACTGTTTAACACAGGAAGTAGGTCATTTTTTCACTTCATTGCGATTACATACTTCAATATCTAATTATTTGCACACTTATTAATGCATAATTTTACTAATTTTTTATGATTATTCTATTAAAGTCTGTTTATCCAAGTTTGACCTACTTCCTCTGT